TGTACACATAGCATGATTCGTATATTTCTTACTTTGACATAGCATGTATATTTATCACTTTACGCTAAATTGAATTGAGTAATGCTATTAATTACTTTGACATAACATGTATATTTGTCAATGTTAGGATCTTCCTCAAACTGCTCAAAGTGATTTTCGGGCTCAGTTAACCATTAAACATCGAATTCAACACCAAAATTGAGATGACCGACCGCCGGCGCCATTGTCTTCCTATGGTTGCTATTGCTCTTTTGCTTGTTGATTCTACCACACACTTAGGATGGATACCACACAGGTAAGAGTCACAAAGTCTCAAGCAATTGGTAGGGAAGATTAATTGACAGGATGCATAAAGGAGAAGAAGAAGAAGAATGCCTCTCTCTCTCGGGTTCTCTCACGCACGGCACAAAGGAGGAGGAGAGAATTACCAATATATAAATTAGTCCAATGACCACTTAAGGTAAGTCACAATATGGTAAGTAGGCTCGACTAGGGTTAAGTTTTAGAAGCTCCTTGCAACTTTTAAACTTTACCAGTGGCAGCACTTTCGTGCCCATAACTAAAGGATTATATTGTGTATGAATTTTTTCAAGTCTTACTACTTCTTGTGATATTATATCCCTAATGAAGTGTAACCTAACATCGATATGTTTAGTGCGTTCGTGAAAAACAGGATTCTTACACAGATGTATGGATGCTGACTATCAGAGTACACAACCACATACTCATTCAAGACACTCAGTTCATGAAGTAGACCTTTAAGCCATAGAGCCTCTTTAATTGCTTCAGTGGTGACAATATATTTTGACTCGGTAGTGGATAGTGCAACTATGTGTTGTAACTGTGATTTCCAACTAACACATGAATTTGATAAGGTGAATACGTAAGAGGAAGTTGATTTTCTACCATCCCTATCTCCTGCATAGTCAGCATCTACAAAACCCATTAATTTCACGCCTCCTTATTAGCACTAAATTTTAGACCTACGTCACTTGTACCCTTCAAATATCTTAAAAGCTACTTTAATGCTTCCCAATGTTCAGGACCTGGATTAGACATGTACCTAATGAGAGTACTAACGGCGAATCCTAAGTCCGGTCTAGTGCAAACCATCAAATACATTATGGAACCAATCACATTTGAGTATGGAATTTTACTCATGTATTCCACTTCACATTCATTGCAAGGAGTTTGTTCTTTAGATAGAACAAAATGGTTTGCAAGAGGCAACATGACAGGTTTGCAGTCACTCATATTAAACATTTTCAACACCTTTGATATATATGGAGACTGATGCAAGAATATGATGGAATTTGACCTATTTCGTTCTATTTTCATGCCTAGAATCCTTTTAGCCTTTCCTAGATCTTTCATGTCAAATTTTCCACTAAGATCTGCTTTTTTATTATTTATCCACTTAGGAGATGATCCAACTAAAAGCATGTCATCCACATAGAGCAACAAGAACAAATAATTGTTATCAGTCTCGTTGTGTTGAAAGTATAGGCAGTGATCGAATTTACTTCTTTGAAATCCTATAGTGAGTACAAAGGAATCAAACCTCTTGTACCACTGTCTAGGTGATTGCTTTAGACCATATAGGGATCTTTTCAGAAAACACACATAATCAGATTTTAACTTGTCTTTAAAACCTTTTGGTTGATTCATAAAGATTTGTTCATCAAGTTCTCCATGTAAAAAAGCGATTTTTACATCGAGTTGTTCACGTTCCCAGTCAAAGAGCGCAACCAATGCGAGCATGACCCTAATAGTAGTGTACTTGACAACTGGTGAGAAAATCTCGTTATAATCAACACCTTCTTT